ACCCAGCTACAGCTACCCAGTAAGAACTACCCAGCTACAGCTACCCAGTAAGAGCAGAGGGAGGATCTGTGGAGTGCTCTCCCCACGTAGACACTCCAGAAAACACATGCAGCAGTAAACAAGTCAGTATATTACTGCTCTGTATAACCATTGGTGCAGGTTGTATTTAGCAGCTGACAGGATGTAAATCAGTCGGTGGTGGAGCATCAGGGTTCCCTGGTGTGACGTGTAGACGGACCCAGCAGAGTGTGAAGAAATGAGGGAAGCAGGCAGGTATAACGGCTGTCAGTTTCTCTGATGTAATCCTGCGTTTGGATGAATATTCTTCATGACAAACCTGTTGGCAGATGAAATGAGTTCATGAAACGCTCAGAGGCTCTGTAGAGGGCAGATGGCTTCGTCTGGATGATGGTTCCTAACCTGATGCCTCAACGTGAGTTAACTGCACTTCGCTGCATTCAGAGTCATCTTATGAGTTATACAAAGTTAAAGTTAAATCAACCAGTAATAAACCTGAGAAATGAATTCACTCGTCACGTTCTGCAAATACAAACACACCTGCTTTAGTCTTGATGCCATTTTTGAACGCTCTGTATCAAATATATATCCTGGGAAGTGCTGGTTTAGGTTCTTATAGACTTAATGAGTTGAGTGAAGTGTCATCATTCATCCATTCAACTTGTTTTCAGTCCCGTCGCCTCGAGGTACTAAAGTGGTCTGAAATAAGAGAAAAGACATTTTATGGTCAGTTTACCACAAATCACATCCAGTTTGTTGTCCTGGTGCTGCACATGCACCGTTTCTGCAGGATCATTTAATAAGTTGGCAAAATGAACATCTGGGATAGAAACTAAACGTTCCCTCTCGCTGTCTCCTGACGGGGGCGCTGCATCCATGTGCGCCGCCATGTGTTTACATTAAATCAACTAGAATTAAAATGTATTTTTTAAGTTTTGCAGTGTAGGAGTGACACCTTGCTGATGCTAACAGGAGGCGAGTGCGCTGGCCGTGTGGGGAGCGGTGAGGGACCCATGGCTCTTCATGTTCAGAGGTGGTGAAGTGTACAATGACACTGAATAGATAAACCCACAACATCTAGTGTTTTTCTCAGCTCTGAGTCTGTCCCTTCAGGCTCAGCTCTTATTTACTCACATGCTGTTCTTCATGCACCTTCATGCAACAGACAGCTGCACGACACGCCTGGACTGATGAAGGCAGGAATCCAGTTAATCCGAGGTGAGGGTTTGTTTAAACACTGGCTCATTCCACATAAACCTGGCTTTGAAATACACACGACCTCGCTACAGAAAGATGGACATGTGCTCATCAAATATTTACTGCAAATGTTTGAGTCTGTGAGTGATGACAGGTTTCAACAGAGTCCTGATAAGAAGAACATTTGAGGGGATCATAAATATCCACAGAAAACAAGAATCTGGCCAGAGGTCTCTGAGACACCTTGCTGTGTACCAGACGTGACATTTTGAACACCCTCCGTATGCTTCCAACAAAGTCCTTGTCTGCTGAGTGTGATCTCAGCCTCGTAGACCTGATCAGACAGCGTGCTGTGCAAAGTAGTTGGTCTGCAGCACACTGCAGCCTCTGACTCCAGCACCAGCAGGCAGACATGTTCATCAGATGGTTGCTCTGGTGGAAACATTACCGAACTGCATTGGACTGGGGAGATTCAGGAATGGCTGACACATGGATGGTGGTGTTTGTCGTGCTGCTCTGCACGCTGCACCGCTTCACTGCATGTATAGTGTACAGACTGGGCCGGGCCTGAAGGCTCCTGAAGGATAAACGTGCTGTTTATGATCGTTGTTCCGTCCTATGAGTAAATTAGAATAAAAGTGATAATCATAATAGACATGATGAAGTTATTACACAAAGCTGGGCATGCGTTCCCTGCATAGGAACAGCTCTGGTCATATATATACACATATATACACCAGAGGCATCTCAGGTTTAGTTTCATTTATCTTCCATTCGGTGATGAATGAGGACCATTAGAGGCACCACGCTCTCTCTCTCTGTGGATGATTACTCATTACCCTCCTGAGCTGTAAGAGCTCAGATCTCGCCTCATCGCCAGATCTAGTCTCAGTCGCTCTTAATCCTGCCATTAGCACATTTTGTAGTGCTGCCATGCAAACTTCTGTTTGCTTTGCCTGCAGTTTGCTTGTCTGGTCAGATTCGGTGACTCGAGCCTCAAAGACTGTCCCTAATGATTCCATTTTATCAAACCGTCTTTTCAAAGAGCAGGCCGAGGGCATCATCTTCTAAGATTTTAATCATGCCACTTTGAACTTTTACAAATATAAACCTCCAAACATCAGAGTAAATGTAAGTGGTTTTAAAGCTTGATTGATGAAACAGAAGAACCATCCATCCATCATCTCTACACCTTAATCTAGGGTCATGGGGGGCGGAGNGGTCTGTACAGGTGTACGGGAACGTCTGTGGGGTCTGTGGGGTGTTTGAGTTGAAACTTAAAGACACTAACAACTCTATCATTGTTTTTATAAAGGGGTGTGTTATGTGACTGGGCAGAGAGGTCCTTTATGTAGCCTGAGCCTGTTGAATGCATGTGAACACCCTCTGAGCCCAGGACAGAGCTGACTGGTTCCTTCTCTCTCCAGTACCTGGCCTTCACCTGTGGGCTGGTTAGAGGAGCTCTGACCAACCTGGGAGTGAAGAGCATTGTGACTGCTGAGGTGTCCATCATGCCTGCCTGTAAGACACACACACACACACACACACACACACACACACACACACACACACACAAGCTGCCTGACAGACCACACAGTTTATTTACCGCTACAGCCTTCTGCTAACTCGTAGCCATGACTGAAGCACAGACTTGTGTTTTCCTCTCAGACCACCTGAATTCAA